ATGGTAATGAGCGCGGCAAAGAGGCGCGATGGTGAGATGGGAAGCCACAGGCCCTCAGCCTCTGGTCCGAGGGACGGCGCTGCCCCGGGGCCGACAGGTGCGGGGGCGGGGGCGGCGGGGCGGGGCGTTTCAGCACCTTGGAGAGGGCCAGGGCCGCACCTCGGTGCGTGGGGGAGCCTGCAGTGGAGGGCGCAGAGCCGGGCCAGGCGGAGCAGGTGGAGGCTCTCTCGCTGAGACGTGCCAGGATGCTGCCCACCTGGCTCCTTCGGGCTCTCCCTGCAGCGGGCGGCTGCTCCTTCCTGAGGCTTCGGGCCGAGGGCCCTCCCACCCCAGGCGGGTAAGGGATGCTGTTAAAGGTGCTCAGGGATCTGGGTCCTGTTTCCCTGCACTGACCCCCATCCCACCCCCCACCCCATGATCTTGGGAACGCTCCTGCCCATCTCTGGGCCTCTTTTATTTTAAAAACTTTTCATTGAATTTACTGGGGGGACACTGGTTAATAAAATGATACAGGTACAAGTCTATGATACTCTGGGCCTCTTGACTGTGCCTGCAGCCACTGGGTCTTCCTGGACGCCAGCTGCCCGTTCGGCCCAAGGCGGGGCGCAGAGGGGAGCCCAGGCAGGAGGGGAGGCCTGGTTCCCGAGCCGTGTTCTGCCGGAGGCCCCTTGGCCCACACCTCAGCTGGGGTGGTGTGGTCCTGGCTCCTGGGGGCGCTCGCTGTTTCACCACAGGGAAGCCCTGGGTGTGCTATGGGCATTGGGGGGGGGCAGGGCTCACAGCGGAGCCAGCTCTACCCCGCGAGGACCCTCCTGACAGGGCTGACGCAATCCTCTGACCCATCGCTTCAAGCTCCACAAATGCCGCTTCAGCCAAGCGCACGTACGCTTCCAGAAGGTGAGCTTCAGGAGGCCCCAGCCACTCGGACCCTCTGCGTCGAGGTCCAGGGGAGGTGAGGGACATCCAGTCCCAGTGAAACTCCTCTGGCCCCGAATGGACAGTGTTCACCCGGGTCACCGAGGCCCTCTGTGTGCCCTGCATGGTCACCGATGGGCATGCGCTCACTGGCACTGGCATGTGCGTCCCGGTGAGGGGGTCGGGAAGGACCACCTGAATGCTCAGAAGCACCCAACCTCAGGAGAGACAGGGTGGTCAGGCCCGGGTGGGCCCGAGGGCCTCGCTGTGGCTACCAGCAGAGGGCACTGTGGGGCCCTGGACGCCCCAGTCCCATCCTGGCTGTGGAGAGGGAGCAGGGACCGGACTCCCTGGGAGAGGCGCAGGAGGCCGGGGCGGGGGGCGGCCGCCTGCAGCCTGGAGTGCAGCCCGAGGGCCGGGCCGCGGGGCCCGGCAACCCCACCTGGCCCCCGCAGGGCGGCACTGCTCCCAGGAACTGGCCGGCTGACCAGACCAGTTGCTGCCAGTCTGTTCTTTTGGGGCCTGGAAAATCCCTATTCATGACAGCAAACTTAGAAATGAAATAATACACTGTTCTTTGAAAAAGTAAATTGTGACACCGGAATATTCATGAGCTGTGGTTTGGCGGGAAGTGGCAGCGGCAGGGAGATCATCATTTGGTTAGGCCAGCAGAGGGATTTTAGGGAAGGGGACCTGCCACTTGAGGAAATGGGCTATTAATACTTTCCTGTTTGCTGGGCCTGAACAGTGTGTTTAATGTCAGAACAGATTAACCCTCGGGCCACTCGCATGTCCTGGGTCCCTGCAGCCTTGGTTCCCCTCCCCCAGCCCATGCACACAGGACCTGCACCAGCTCCTGCTTGGGAACCCAGAAAGTGCGTTGGGAGCTGGAGGGAGGCTCGCCTGGCAGAGGTGCAGGACCAACCCCACACTAGGAAATGCCCCAAACCTCTCAGCTGGGGGCTGAGCAGGATCCCCCCAAAGCTCGTGGGCACCTGGAACCTCAGAAGGACTTCAGGTGGAAATCAGGTCTTTGTGGATGTAATGAGTTAAGGACTCCAAGATGAGGTCGTCCTGGATTAGGGTGGCCCTCAATCCAATGACTGGTGTCCTTTAAGAGGAGAGGCACTAAGAAGGAGATTGGGTCCTGGCTGGTGTGGTTTAGTGGATTGATCGCCGGTCTGTGAATCCAAGGGTCGCTGGTTGGATTCCCAGCGTAGGACACCTGCCTGGGTTGAGGGCCAGCTCCCCAGTAGGGGGTGCGCTAGAAGCAACCACACATGAATGTTTCTCTCCTTCTCTTTCTCCCTGCCTCCCCACTCCCTAAAAATAAATAAAATCTTAAAAAAAAAAAGAGAGAGAGAGATTGAGACATTGAGACACAGGGAGAAGGCCAAGGACGACAAGGCAGTGATCAGAGCAAGGTGTCTCCAAACCAAGGGACACTGAGGCTGTCTGGTGACACCAGAAGCCAGGAGAGACCTGGGACAGATCCTCTGTCACAGCCCCCCAGGGACTCAGCCTTGCTGACACCTGGGTCTCAGGTGTGTGGCGTCCAGAACCAGGCGAAAGTAAATCCCTGTTGCTTGATGTCCCCTTCTCTGCGCAACTTTGGTCTGGCCGCCCCAGGACAGTCCTCCATTTGGTGACAGCTGGAAGGTGGCCAAATGAGGGGGCCGGTGAGAACAGGCTGGTGGGCCTGGTGCTGTTTTTTGCTGGGCACAAGGTGTGACCAGATGCTGCCTCTCCTCTTTCTGGGCCTGGGGTCTCCCACGGCAGGGGGCAGGGCCAGAGCCATGCTTCCCAAACTGGGTTCCCCAGTGCACCCACCACGTTGGTGGGGCCACTTCCTGTTGTTGGAGTGCCTCAGTACCCACCTCTTCCTCCCTCTTGATGCTTGGTGGGCTCCTAGGCACCCTTCACTGCCCTGTTCCATGACCTTCCCCCTTCCCTCAGGGTGTCAACAGAGCTGCTGTATCCTCAGAGTTCAGCACACACTGCAGGGGCTGTGGATGCATGGAGCTGGCCCCTTTCCTGTCACCAGCTGTCCGAGCAGGACCATGGCTCGCCCCTGCCCTCTCGTGGCCGCCTTGAGGAACCACTGGTGGCTGCTGTTGGAGGTTTTGGGACCTCAAAGCGGTGGAACACACTCAGGGCAATGAGAACTGGATCAGACTTGGAGTCGCTTTTGCTGGGAGACCCTTCCCAGTCTTCCCAGCCAAGAGCTGAGTTGGTGGGGTGGGAGGATCATAGGAAGAGGGGTCGTCCCCTTGGCTGCCATCACCCAGGGCAGTTCAGGCTCTTCCCAGAGACTGTAGGTGCTGGGTGGGAGCCAGGACTGGGGTGGGCCCTGCTGGCTCTCCTGGATTCAGCCCTGTGCATCCAAGTGCCTCCCAGCAATGTCCACTTGGGTGTTCCCCTGCATGTGCAGATAAGCATGTGCAGGGTTGAGCTCAACACGCCTCCCACCTTGCCTTCTCCTCATCCTCTTTGAGGTGGTGACACCGCTGTGCGGCTGTGTGCCCTGTCACCCAAGCTGGGAGTACTCATGTCATTCTTGATTTTTTTCTTATTTAGCTCACCCCACATGGTGCCCCAGGTCTTCTCTGTCCACGAGACTGTGTAACAATCAGCACTTCTGTCTCCTGCTCAGAGCCCCACTCCTGGGACAGTATCCTGGTGACAGTTAGTAAACACTAGACTGGACAAACTGAATTTGCACGTGTCAGAATGATCATATGAGGACATGTGCACAAACTGGTGTGAAGAGCAAACGCCCAAAAGCGCCAGACGCTAGGACGGGCTCTCCATCTAGATTGGCTGACCCCCTCTGGGAACAGGACCTGTGTCGCGTCTCTCTCCGCTCAGTAAAGTTGTTTTCTTCCTCCCTCGCCCAAGGACATTTTTTCATTGTTTTTAGAGAGAGGAAAGGAAAGACAAACATCGATGTGAGAGAGAAGCATCAATTGGTTTCCTCTCACACATGCCTGGATCGGATATCGTAAGTACTGGACCGGGGATTGAACCCACAACCTAGGTATGTGTCCTGGCCTGGACTCGAACCGGTAAGCCTTTGCTACAGGACGACGATCCAACCCACTGAGCCACATCGGCCAGGGCTCAGTACAGGCTGTTTTGAATGAATAAAATGAGTGAGTGCAGGTCGGTCACATGGACTGGGTGTGGCCCTGACCCAAATAAGCACTGATATTTGTCACCCTGCAGGAAGTGCCTGTGCTGAGTCGCCGGGCAGCTCCCTTTCCTCAGGTGCACGCAGGCCGGCCTGAGTGTAGTCAGAAGCTCTGCAACCGCGTGGAGGCCCAAGACCCGAGGGAGACCGCGCACTGCTAACAAGTCCCCCAGGTGCTGCTGCGGGTCTGGGGACTGCACTTGGGGAGAAACTCTGCTCAAGGTCAGTGCCCCCAAAATAAACACAATAGCAGCCACATACACAATTTAAAATTTTCTAGAAGCCACCTCTTCAAAAAGTATAAAGAAACAGGTGAAATCAATTTCAATATATTTTACTTTACCCGATATACCCAAACTATTGTGTCAACATGTAGTCAACATTAAAACATTTAAGTATTTTACATTGTCTTTTCCTGCTAACTCTCGGAGATCCGGTGTGCATTTTACACTTGGAGCCCAGCTCAAAACGGGCTGGCAAACGCAACGGCACCATGTGGCTAGTGGACCTGAGCTGCAAAGCACAGGCAGGCAGGTGCGGGAAGAAAGGAGTGAAAAGAGAACTACATCTCCCTGGAAGCTCCGGGCGCACGCCCTGACGTACTTCCGGCGCGCCCCCTTCGGAGAACCACACCTCCCGGCATGCCCGGGCGCGCCCCACGACGCACATCCGGCGCAGAGGCGACAGCGCGCCCCCGGCGGCTCGGCGGCGGAGCGCGGCGACAGCTCGGGCGGCTGCGAGTGACAGGCGGCCGGCCGACGGAGCCGGGGCGGGGCGGCGGCCCGCGAGCGAGCGCGCGGTCGGCCTGGCCCCGCCCCCGCCCCGCCCGGCCTGCCCGGTGACCTTCAGGGCGCGGGCGGCGGGCGCAGGCCCGGGCGGCGGTGGCGGCGGTGGCGGCGGCGGGATGTTCGTGCAGGAGGAGAAGATCTTCGCGGGCAAGGTGTTGCGGCTGCACATCTGCGCGTCCGACGGCGCCGAGTGGCTGGAGGAGGCGTCCGAGGACACGTCTGTGGAGCAGCTCAAGGAGCGCTGCCTCAAGCACGTAAGGCCCGCCGCCCCTCGGGGCCTCCGGCCCCCCACCTCCGCGCGGACTGCGGGAGCGTCTCCCGCCCTTTTTCTCAGCCACCCCCCCTTCCCGACCCCCAGACCCGGGCTCCGGGCCAAGCGCTTTACATTTCGCCCTCCCGCTGAACTTCTGCAGCCCAGGAGGTCGGGGCAGATCGGGAACCGGAGGCGGGAAGAGGCGAAGTCGCCGCGGAGAGCTGGGCCTCCCGGTTTGCCAGCATTCGTGCTGCCGTGCTGGTGGGATGAGGTTCCGGATCTTTCAGCAGCTCCCCCAAGAGCTGTGAATTAGCGCCGCGGAAAGAAGGGACCCACAGCGGGGAGGTCACTTGCCCTTCCCTGCAGAGCCGGCCTCTTGGAGCCGTTTCCTGCCGGGTGGCCTGCGGGCCGGGCCCTGGCACGGCCGCTTGTGCCTCATGGAATCACTTAAAAGTGTCCTGCTTTCCTGTGGCCTTTACACGAATACGGGCCCGGGTCCGAGGAGCGGGATCTCCTCGAGGAGAGCCGCTTCTTAAAGTGGATTCGCGAGAAATACTCCTCGTGGATTAAGTGCCTTAAATTGCTCATTTTTTGGAGCTAGTCCTTGAAGGCTTTGCTTTAAACTTCTTGACCTGGTAAGGTGGGGTGACATCTGCCTGGGGCTCTGGCTGCCTAGGGAAACCCTATACTTAGCTTGATGCCTTGTTTTCTTGTCAGAGTTTAGGTTAAAAGAGGCCTTAGCAGTTTAAGGGGTGGGTCCTACATGGTAGGTCACATATCTGTATTTTTGACAAGGTGTTTTGTTAAAATAATGCTAAGGGTCCTCTCCAAGGACAAACTTCAGTGACGGTAGCTGCCCACGAGGTAGTTCTCAGTCACTTTGGTGAGCGTGGTTCTGTGGACGAGTTTGTAGCTGCAGGGGTTGGGGGGGCAAGAGCCAAGGCCCTGGGGGCGCTGGGCGCTGGATGGGGGTGGCAGCACTGTCTGGCCCTCGGTGTTCGATCACCACCTGGGACAAGGGGGCTCTGTGCTCACCTGTGAGGCGCAGGGACATTTTGGCCACTTTCTTGGTTTTCTTCTGATCCGGTCAGTGTGGCTTCCCCCTCTGGATAACTGCTCGTGGGGGCCCCCCACCCAGGAAGGAAGCTCCTGAGGGTGGGCTTGCACCCATGCGTCCGGGGCCAGGCTCTTGGCAGCCCCGAGCAAGCAGGTGGACGAGGGGAGCAAGTGGAATGGATCGGCAGTCCAGAACTGCAGGGACACGGCCTGCCCCGCACCAGGCGAGGGGGGGGGGGGCGCGGTCTGGGGGGAAATCGGTTCAGCTCATTAGAGGTGGGGATTTACATAACTGTTACAGTGTTGTTTTACGAAGAGGGACAGGAAATGAGAAGTGTTTGCCGGCCCCACAGAGGCTTGCACTCGGGGTTAATTTGGCAGCTCAGCGCTGTGCTAATTGTTTTGTTTCTGGTCTTGAGTATTCCAGCCGGCATTGAGATGTATCGTGTGGGATTTTTCAGGCATTTCCCCTACTTTAAATTCAGATGTTTATTCTGCCCTGTAGTCTCAGGTGTGGCAGGTCTGACCCCAGGGAGTCACACACAAAGAGTGTACGTAAGTCAGGGGCCTGAGAGCCAGGAAGGGTTCCAGCCTGTGCCCGTCTGTCAGAGGCCTTAGATGGTAAAGGGGACGGCAAGTTGTGCGCTGGAACGTCACCCTGGAAACCAGTCCCTGAATGTCATGCTGCTGCGCCAGTGAGGCTGTGTGCCTGAGCTCATGTTCCCCCTCCCAGGGTTCCCCGGTGCGTGCTAAGTTGGCGTCCCCTTTGCCTCCTCCCCCTGCTCCTCGGCTGTGTTTCTGTATCAGGGAGGGTTTGTTACCATTTCTCTGAAAGGAGGCAACACCATTGTTGCTGCTCCCTCTTTGGTTTTACCCAAGTGGGGATCGCGGTCGTGGCCTCTAGCCTCCCTCGCCTGGGAGTGCAGGAAGGGACGGAGGGACCCATCTCGTGTGAGGTTAATAGGAGCTTAAGGGCGTTAAGAGAATGACACTTGTGATGTGCGGGGGTCTTTCTGTGTCTTGTAACCCTCCCTGGCGTTGCAGTCCCTGGCGTGGCACCTGCTAGTATGGCTGGGGACATTTCTCAGGTCACATGAAGGTGTATCTTCAAGTGACAGGTTACACCAAGTGTCAGAGAAACCCTGACTCTATTCTGGACAGGAAGCAGGTTCCGTAGGTGTCCGAGCCTCCCTGCCCCAGCCATGGGCTCTGTGGGGCACTTGGCAGCTGTACCCTGGTTTGCTCATGCTCCTGCCGAGAACAAAGAGACCGAGTGAAACCCCAGCGCGCCATGCGGGTGACTCATGCACGTACGTTTGCCTCTGGCACACTGGTGACATGCTGCGGAGTATGGATTTTTTCAGGAACCAGCACGAGGATTGTTTTGGAAAATCTGCTTCATAGACTGTGTTGTGAACTTGTCCAACCGACTGGCCTGCACATTTTGGAGTTAGAACACCCGGTATTTCTGGGAATAGAGCCACCATCGAATTCTAGGGAAGAGGCGGGTCATTCTCTGTACTGTCCTGATGGTGGACGTGTGCCTTACTGTGTGCCGACCACCCTTGTCCCCAGCCCGTCTTGATAGTTTTGCGGGCGTGTGTGACGGCCCTTGAAGCCTCAGCGACCCCTTTCCCTGTTTCATCCTCAGAAAACCGCACGTTCTAGTTGCTCTTAAAACGCCAGGGCTGAGAGGTGAGGTGTGTGCTGAGGGTTCCTTCTTTTCTGGGAGGCAGTTGTGTGTTCTGCGGTCTCGGAGCCTCTGCTGTAGCCAAGGAAGGACGCTTCCCATGGGGTCTGTCTGGCTTAGCACGGGAGGTCCCCGGGACCCCGGGGCTGAGGTGCACCCTGAGTGCGGCCGCAGCCGCCCCCCAGCCCACACAGTGCTCTGGCCCTCCGCGGCTGGCAGGTGCGCAGGGCGCCCGGGGGCAGAGCCTGGCTGCTGCTTCTGGGTGCTCCTGCTCCACCCTCTGACTGGGGAGTGACGGGCCAGCTGGGCTGCAGTCACGCTGTGGGTCTCACCTGAAGTGCTCAGGTGTGCCTTGCTCTGCGCAGCCCGGGTTCGGCCCACGGGAAGGGCCGCCGGTGACCAGGTGGGCGTGGCTCTGGTGGCACAGGCAGCGTGAGCGAGCAGCGCGTGCACGACCACACTGCCCAGCACAGCGCACTTCCGAGCCCTGCGTCTGGGCTGTCCGCGCTCGTGCGCTCCTCCTGGCACGCCGAACTCCTGGGCGAGGAGACCTCTGGCGTCCGTGCCCCAGGGGCGGTGATGGTGCCTGTGGCCACGGACAGCAGGGACCTGGGGGCTGGGGCTCCAGGGTGCGGGGAGGACAAGGGGTACATGTGCCTTGGGGGCACACCGCTGGCCTCACGCTGCCTGCGGTGCCTCCCACGTGTGGGAGAGGATTCAGCGTGTGCGTTCCCCACCGTGTCCCGGGTTCCGGGCCCTGGTCAGTGGGATGCACCGTGTGTCCCTCCCCTCTGATCTCCCAGGAGAGGCCCTCCAGCAGCACCTGTAGCTGTGGGGTCTCTGGCTGCAGCTGGGTGAGCCAGGCCCGTGCTGCCTCCAGGTGCCTCCTCGGGGTTTTGCGGGCGTTTTAGTGGCCAGGCCCCCGTTCCTTGCTCTTGGTGGACCATCCGCTCTCTTTGCTGTCTGTCTCTCGCTCTCTTTCTGGGCAAGAAAGGAAAACAAGTACACAAATCATACTTAGATCTTCAGATTTTCAGGACAGAAGGGATCTGCTATTGTCATTTTAAAGGTACTCTTTAGATCTTCCCAAGCGAGAGGGAAGTGATTTGGTTGCCACTAATTACCTGCAGGGTGTGTCTGTTTAGCTGCAGCTCTGTCTCAGGAGTCCTCAGTGGGCTGGTGGGCAGATCGCTGGCCTAGGGGACTGGGGTTGTGGCACTTCACTTGGTTTCTGTCATCAGTCGGAACTCTTTGATTTCCTTTGTGCTGTATTTCTTAGGTAGTGAGAAAAACCACTATATTCCTGGTGTGGCATGGGATGCCAGGTTCTCTGTTACTAATACTACGATTTTTTATTTTCTATCTTGAAATACTTGATTTTCCCCCCACAGTGTGCTCATGGGAGCTTGGAAGACCCCAAAAGTGTAACTCATCACAAATTAATACATGCTGCGTCAGAGAGGGTGCTGAGCGACACCAAGACCGTCTTGGAAGAGAACATCCAGGACCACGGTGAGAGCCTCCTGGGCGGCGGTGGGAGTGGGGCGGGCCCGGGGGCAGGCGCCCGCGGCGTGAGTCCGTGTCCATGTTGGACTTGAGCCAGAAACCAGGCCCTCTTCTCCCTTCACTAAGCCAGTGTGCGAGGCGGGATGGCTGCGAGAACTGGCGGGCGCTGAAATGGAGCAGGCAGCATCCGTCTCAGAAGTGAGCATGGCCTTTGTTTGTGATTTTCTGTCAGAGCAGAGCGCAGGTCTCCGGAGCTGCTCCAGTTTCCGTTCAGGGCTGCAGGGACGGTGGTGGCAGCTGCCTCAGGCTTCCTGGGAAGCTGCTCCTCCTGCACATGTCCTGCCTGTCGCTCGCAGTTGTCAGTCCACAGGCGTTTGGGGAGGAAACCTTGGTTTTCTCTGTCTCATCCAGAGGGTGCTTTTGATTCTAGATGCCCCAGTAATCTGTTTTGAAAACGCTGGAATTGTCAGGACCAGGCGGAGCTGCCCCGCCTTGGGCTGTGGCTCGCCATCCCTCCCACCCTGCAGACGGCCATGCTCCTGTTGGAACAGGAGCAGTTCACAGGATTCCCCCCAGTTCCTGCACGGCTGTCAGGGCGGGGCTATGTGTGCCTTCTGGGCCGCCGGCCACCTCGGGGGACCCCTCCCCGGTTCCAGCCAAGCCCGGAGCCTGTGTGTGAGCCAGGGGCGTGCAGGCATGAAGACCAAGGGGAGGCAGGCTTGGATAGATGCCCAGCTTAGAAGAGGCCACAGGGAGCCCCCGCTTTTCTGTCCTTGGCTTACCCAGCCCTTTTGTGGACATAAAACAATAACCAGTTTGATGGACTTCTTTTTTCTCTAGATGTCTTATTGTTGATAAAAAAGCGTGCTCCGTCTCCACTTCCTAAGATGGCTGATGTCTCGGCAGAAGAAAAGGTGAGTTTCAAAGCTCGGAGGTGGAGGTCTTCATCAGTGAAAGCCTGCCCCTGTTAAGGCCTTCGGAGACAACCGTCCTGTGTGCCGGCTGGTCGTGGGCCGGGGTGCGGGCACAAGGGGTTTTCTGTCTCAGACAAGCAGCGTGACGGGCGCCTGTCCCGGTGCTGGTCATGTGACTGGCCCTGGGAAACCTGGCTCTGCTCTCAGCACCGGGCAGAGAGGAGCATGGGGCATCCTCACGGGAGGGCCCGCGTGTCGTGCACCGGGCACACTGCCTGTGTGCACCCCCAGGCCTGTGTGGACAGAAAGCTCAGGATGTCCCTGACGGCCACCCCACAGAGCACGCATGCAGGGACGACAAGGGGCACACTCACCCCTAACCCCTCATGCCTCACCCCTCACCCAGGAGGGCCAGAGCGGGGGTATCAGCTTACACGGAGCGAACCGCTGGGGAGCCCAGCTGCCTGTCTGCTCTGCATCTCGGACCAAGTTGGGGGTCCCTGGGGTCCGCGTTCACCTGCGCCTTCCCCCTAGAACTGGGGTCAGCGCTGTGCCACGGCCGCCCCGAAAGCTGGGTATAGGAGGCTGTGTGCGCAGCGGGCGCTCCATCCTCAGGCCTGCGCCCAGGCCAAGCACGCCCTTTTAAAAGGGCGGTGGCGTTAATTGTGCAACTTTTCCTTTTATCTTCAGATGTGAAGTTTCTTACTCACACCCTGAAGTGCTTGGGGGAGCGTTCCCCCAGAGGAGGCAGGCCCAGCCCCACTGGGCACGGGGCCGAGGGTGCCAGGCGCTGCTTCAGGTCTCTCCTGGGACAGGCGGTGAGGGCTGCCCTTCTTATCTGCCGCCACAGCCGGCCCGCGCGCAGGCTGCTCAGCCCATCTCAGGGAGGCAGACCTGGGCCTGCCCGGCCTGCCCGGCCTGCCCCTGGGCCTGGCCCCTCGGGCAGCCGTTCGCGACCTCTGCTGCGCTCTGCCGCCCGCAGCCCCTCTTCCCGGCGCACTTCTGTGGAGCGAACGCCGTCGGATGCTAGTGCTTGTTTCTGTGAATTATTTGTTATAAGTGAAAGTAGCAAGTGTATTTAAAAAGTCAAGTAATAGCATAAATCTTTCGATAAAAATGGGTAGCCGCCTAGCCTACCTGCATCAGGCACCCTGAAGGCAAGCAATCGCAGACCTCTCTTTACTGCTCCCTAAGCAACTCTCCCCGACTTCGGAACAACACTTGTTTGTTGGACGATCGGTGTGACGTACTGTTGGCCCCTGGGTGGCCTGGGGACCGCCCGCTCAAGCGCCGGGCCGCGGTGCTGGCTGAAGGAGAGTTCGCGGTTCTGTCACGTTACTGAGTCTCGTCTTCCGCTCTGAGTAAAGCATGCTAAGAGTGTCCTTTTTATACAACTTCTTTTTTTGTTACTGCCTCATTGTTTTGTTTGCTTTCTATAGGCTTACACTGATTTTTCTCAAGCTCTTCACCAGTGTTGGTAAATCCCTCTGAAAATAGCATCCCAGCTACTAAGCCCTGCCTGGTCTTACTTCCCAGGAGGACCCCCCCGCCCCCCCGGCCCCGCTGCCGGCTTCAGGCCCATCTGTTCCAGTGGCCTCCAGGCCTGGGCATCCCGGGCTCCCCACCTCTGAACTGCTCCTGGGTCAGAGCCTCTGGCTCCTCCACGTCTGCGCACGTGTCCCGTTGGCAGCGAACATGGCCACAGGCTGGCCGGCTAGACCACACGGCTCCCAGGCCGTGAGGGCAGCAGTTTGGGTAGCTCACTGGCCGTCATGTGGGGTCTCAGGAGTGGAGGTCTGTGTTCTCCCTGGGGGCCCTGGGGGAGGGTCTGCTCGGGCTTTTCCAGGCGGTTTGCAAAACTCCGTTCCTGCAGTTGAGGGGCTGAGGTGCTGATTTCTTTCTTTCTATTTCTTTTAAGATTTTATTTATTTATTATTAGAGAGAGGGAAGGGAGGGAGAGAAACATCCACGTGGGGTTGCCTCTCGCACACCCCCCTACTGGGGACCTGGCCTGCAACCCAGGATGTGCCCTGACTAGAATTGAACCGGCGGCCTTTTGGTTCGCAGGCCGGTGCTCCGTCCGAAGAGCCGCGCCAACCCGGGCGTGAGTGCCGATTTCCTGCTGGCTGCCAGGCAGGGCTGCTCTCAGCTCCTGGGGGCTGCCGTGCGCCTTGCCGTGTACCCCCTGTAGCTTCAGAGCCAGCAACAGAATTTCTCCGGTGTTGAATCCCTGTAGACAGAAGGGCCAGCCTGATTAGGTCAGGGCCACCAAGGGAGACCTCTCCTTAAGTGGGCTGAGCCATGCGACGTGACCCACCCCGAGTGAGGCATCTGCTCACAGCCCGGGATCCTGCAGGCAGGGCTGCGGGCCGACCTGGGGGCCCACTCGGTGCACCAGCATTCAGGCAGGTTGGCAGTGCGGAGGCCCTGCCTTCCGGCCCCTCGGGGCCCCGGGGGGCGCCGGCTGCACACCCCGTGTGACAGGCCTTGGCCCAGGCCTTCCAGGTTCCGGGCGGCAGGTGGGCGGGTGGCTCTGACCCTGGTCCTAGCCACCCCCCTCGGGAGTTGCCGGAGTTCTGAAATGTCAGGGCTGCCTGGCTGCTGGAGCTGGAGGTGCTCGTGGTTGAGTTCCAGAAGTTTCTGGACTGTTTTCTCTTTCTGGAATGACTGTCAGTGGGTGTCGGGGCTGCTCCTGAGAAGCTCTGACTTTGCCTGCCCGCGCCCTTCCCGCTGGGCTGTGGGGTTTCTGCAGTTCCTGATGGGCTCTTGTCTCAGGTCGCCTTGCAGTGCCCAGCTGCTCCTGCTCTCCTGCAGGACGGTGTCTCCTGGTTGCAGAGTGCTCTTCCCTTCCCGGTGTCCCCTGCGTTCCTGCTTCTTCCCTTTACCCATGTTAGTTGGCGTGTCCCCCGCCTAGACCTTTCTCACACCCCTGCTCCTCGGCTGTCCCTCCCCGCAAGGAGCCCTGCAGGGCTCACAGGCTCCCCTCTGCCTGGTGGGTGGGGCCCCTGGTGGCTTCACCGTGGGACAGGGACTCAGCCTTGTGCCCTTCCGCCCCAGTGGAAGCCAGACGCTCAGGGGCGGGTCTCCTCCAGGGTCAGGGCAGCGCAGCAGAGGAGCGGCGGTGCTCCCTGGCCTGTGCTGCGCTCCCTGGCCTGTGCTGCTCCCGCGGCTTCCTCCAGGGTATTGCTGGCTGAGCAGGCTGCTGGAGCAGGGGCACCATCCCCGCCCCCACGCCCCCCTGCCTGGCATTCCCCGGGGGCTGCTCCCTGCACAGGTTCTCAGCCTCAAAATTGGTGCTATTACTTGGGTTTGTTTCCCCTCCCGCCCTCTTGGTCTCGTCAGTTTCTGCTATCTTTATTTCTTTGCTGACAAGTCGGGGGTGGGGGTCGTCAGGAGGAGCCAGAGATGAGGGTGAGTTTCTGTCCTGCCCAGCATGGCCGTGTGTCTGTGTTCCACGGGGGTCGGCCTCGCCCAGCCCGGCCACAGCTCCTGCGGCACAGTCACTGTGGCCACGAGGGACGGTGTCCACGCTGGTCCTAGTCCTGCATTGCCACAGTGCACTTACGGAGGCGGGGTTGCATCGGAGGGCCTGGCGTCTGTTCCCGGGGGCGTGCATAGAGCCCTCCGGCCCCACCCCCAACACCCTGCTCCCTGAGAGAGAGGACTGTGCCCGGCTCGCAGCTCTGCTTGTTCCACTTACAGGATGTTGCCATTTGTTGCTCTTGTGTTCACTTCTCACTCTGGCTCCGTTTCTGTGTAGAAAAAACAGGAACAGAAAGCCCCAGACAGAGATGCCATAGTCCGAGCCACCGCCAGCCTGCCCTCCTGCAACATGGACCGGGCTGTGGTCCAGACCAGCATGAGAGATGTGAGTGCGGCCGGAGGCCACGGCGCCCCGGTCACGGCTGCAGGGGCGGGGCGGGGCGCTGTCCCTGAGCAGGGGCGGCCATTGCCCTGCCCAGCATCCCCGAAGTCCTTAAGAGTGCTGGGGAAGCTGGGTGACGGGGAGACTGGGGTTCTGTGTGCTTTCTGCAACTTTTCTTGAGACCTACATTTTTTTTGAAGTAAAAAGTTTTAAAAGACGTTGGAAGGCAGGACTGGAAGGAGAGATGCTTTGGGGAAACGTCAGACATCCTGCCCTGCACAGACATCCAATGGGGCTCTTAGTTACTTTGTTTGGAAAGCTGTACATGAGGACCGGAGCGTTCCCAGGGCTCCCGGGGACTTGCCCGCACCCGGTGCCCGTGCTGGGCAGGACAGGTAGCCACCCCCACTTTGCTGATCGCCATCTCGTCCGAGTGCTGCCAGGAGCCCCGCGCCAGCGGAGCAGCAGCCCCTTTCGGAGTCTCCCAGAGAGTCTTGTGTTGGCCGGGGCACCGAACCCTGGCACATGTCTCTCCCCAGCCTGTGTGTGTTTGTCCCCATGTGGTGTCTCTCATACGATGGCTGAGGCTGGTAGTGGGTCCGAGGGGACAGCTGATCCCCAGTCCTGTCGAGGGCACAGGGCTCGTCGGGGGCCTCCGATTCCCGCCCCAGCAGCCCCTTTTCTCTGGTCGAGAAACCGGACTGGCTGCAGCGGGCGCTGCTCGGTCGGTCCCCCTGCAGCCAGGGAGAGCGAGAGGCCGTGCCTGGAGCCCATGGACAGCCTGTCGTCCTCAGCTCTTAGCTTCCTCAGTGGGGCTGCGTGACATCACCAGCGTTCTCTGTGTCACAAGCTGCGAGGCCACGCGCACAGCCCTGGGCCCACAGCCCCTTCCCCGCTCCACTCAGGGCCCTCCCGGGTGTGCCCTCGTCCCTCCCACCCTCTTCCTCCGCGGCTGGCCTGACGTTCCTGAGTGAAGAGCAGCACAGGCCGGCTCCCTGGCGGCGGGTGAGCGGGGGCCGCGGGCCCCAGTGTGCCTGCGCGCCTGTGGGGCACGGGGTCAGCCGAGGCCCTTTCCCTTCCCCTGCAGTTCCAGACGGAGCTCCGGAAGATCCTGCTGTCCCTCATTGAGGTGGCCCAGAAACTGCTGGCACTGAGCCCCGGTGCCGTGGAACTGTTCACCAAGGCCAACGGTACGTGCGAGCCGGGGGTATGTCCCTCATAGCCCCGAGGGCTTCTGCGCCCGGGATGGGCCACGGCCGCTCACCCCCCCCCCGCCCCCCGCACCTGTCCTACGAGTGAACGCCCGTGCCTCCCATTCCCTGAGGTTCCGTGGAAGCGCCACAGGCACCTGGTGCTCGGACGAGGCCCTGGAGCTCCAGGGGGCCCGAGGAGGCGCCCCTCACGGGGGCCTCCAGGGCTGCTCACTGGCCACGTGCCTCCCACAGCGATGCTGGACGAGGACGAGGATGAGCGAGTGGACGAGACGGCCTTGCGGCAGCTCACGGAGATGGGCTTCCCCGAGAGCAGGGCCGCGAAGGCGCTCCGGCTGAACCAGTACGTCGGGGCCGCCCTGCCCTCAGCGCCCGCGCAGGGGCTCGGTCTCGTGGGTCCCCCCCGCAGGTGACACCCCTCCGCCCCACACCCCCCAACTGAGCCGTTCCCAGTATGTGAGCTACGTTAAAGAGGCCTCCAGCGCAAGTCCCGGCAGCACCCGGGCTGGGCGGCTCAGGGCCTGGACGCTGGAGTCGGCGCTCTCCCGCGCTCGCTCCCGCCCTCCCTGGGGCCATGCACAATGGGACTCGGTGGGAGCCGTTCCCGGCAGAGGTGGTGCGGTGCTGTCTCCAGCGGCCCTCTGCAGGCGCACAGCTTTAGTCGCCTGTCCCTGTGTCCGCACTCAGACCTGAGATAACCTGCCAGCTGAAGACCGGGCCGCAGGCCACGCTCTGTTCTGCTTTGCTTCTGAACTCACGTGTGTCCCCAGCTGTCGAGTTCCCTTTGCTGACGAAGTGGGTCTCAGTGTTCTGGCCACAGCCTTGGGGCAGTTTGGGGCAAGCGCCAGAGGGTCACACGTACCTGTGTGAGGGTTCTTGTTGCGAGATCAGCAGCTCATGCTAGAGAAGTCATTAAAATTGCAGTGGTTTCTCCTGAGGGTGTAACGGGAACGGAGGGCCCTGGGTAAGGCCCGGCAGTGCTGGAGGGTCTCTCGCTATCTTCCAGTATGTCGGTGCCCCAAGCCATGGAGTGGCTGATTGAGCACGCAGATGACCCCGCCATCGACACACCTCTCCCAGGTCAGCCCTCTCCGGGCGAGGCGGGGGCCGAAGCTTCGGCCGAGGCTGCTGCCGGCACCAGCGAAGGCGACGAGGAGGCCAGAGATGAGCTCACGGAAATCTTCAAGAAGATCCGAAGGAAAAGGGCCTTTCGGGCCGACAGTCGGGTATGTGTCTGTGGGCCTGGGTCCTGCCACGTAGGCCTGCTGTTCCTCCGCTTGAGGCTGTGCTACCCAAGCCACGCCGCTGACCGTGGCCTGAGCCGGCCGGCCGGCCATGGGGAACAGAGAGCTGGGGGAGGCCGGCGTGGGGGCAGACTCTGGTTCCCAGGGCTCAGGGTTAAGCCTTCTTCACATAAGTCCAGGTAGCTGCACATTCCTCTGAACAGTTAGTCGACACGTCTGTCACCTGCTGCAAAGCTCACAGCCGCTTCTGGTTGTGTCACAAGCCCCTGTGAGCTGTGGGGGTTTGTGGGGCGCCACCCAGAAGCCAGGGCCCCGCACAGTGTGGGATTGCCTTGTGGGGGGTGGGGAGGTAGCCATGGGGCCTGCGAGGAGAGGGACCTGAAGTCTCCGACACCCCTGCCTGCACACGGCCGGCTCTTGTTGCCGTGTTTCTGACGCTTTGCAGTCCTCGCTCCCCACTCTGCCCCTCTGTGGGGCTCCTGTGCGCTCTGGACACTGTCCTCACACGAAGCCCGTTCCTCTTGTACTGTAGGTGCATCAGCTTTGGTCCTTGCGTTCCGGCCCTGCCGGGTGCCGGGCTCCACCTCGGCTCACCCGTGGGTTGTGTTTCTGTGGGAATCCCACGTGGCCTCCTTGTTTGGCACCCTCCTTGGGTGACTCACCGCTGGCTCCTGCGGGTTGAGTGGGACCTGCAACCGGGGCCTCCCCCGGGGAGGTCATCGGCACAGGGCTGTTGGGCCACGGTGTGGTCGGAGCCCCGCTCTGGGCGCCCTGCCCCTGCAGAGGCACGTGCCGGGTCCAGCGCCTCTTCTCTCCACAGACCCGGGCTCCTCTCGGGGTCCTGGTTTGCGGTTCCAGCTTCCCACCTTGCAAGGACCCAAGGTCCTTGCTCTGTGTGTGCGGACATCAGTCCCCAACCCCCAGGCCCTGAGAATGTGCCCCCGCCCCTCCGTGCGCCTTCTTACCCAGCTAGTTTGCTGTTCCTTCTTTGCATTTTTCATGTGGGGATTTCTTCCCTGTGAGTGTAGCTGTGCATGTAGGAGTGTGTGTGTTGTCTGTAGTCCAGTGTGTCTGCTCTGGAAGGAAGGGCACCTCCAGATCCCTGGGGCTGTGTCTGGTGCAGGAACCTGTTTGGGATGAGCAGCCACTCTCTGGGGGTGTCCCTGTCTCCCTCTGGTGGTCCCGTGAGGTCGTGCGTGGTCCTTGTTGGGCCTGCTGCTGGCCAGCTTGGGCTTTGCTCTGCCGTGACCTGTCACGCAGGTGCCCTCCCGGCAGCCTCACTTGCTCACCTGGCCTGCTCCCCACGGAGTCCACGCCTGCCCCCTGCCGTCCCTCCGCGGGCCTGCGGTGGGAGCACCTGAAGGGGTTTCCCTTTAGCACAGCTGTTAGGAAGGAGCCCTGGGGCTGAGGCTGGTGCACCCTCCCTTCTCCTGCCCTCTGACCTGTGCCGGTTGGGCGGCCTGGTCAGGGTGCACGTCACCTGAGTTCCCGGACTGCTGGGCAGGCAGGCAGGGCTTTGCCATGAGCCCCTCCCCGCCCCAGCTGCGGACGGGGCAGCAAGTGTGCAGCTGGTGCAGCCTGAGCTCTGGCGGCCCTCGGTGCCCGAACCCTGTCCCGGTGCCCCCGAGAGAAGGGGGCGGTGTCCACGGGCGTCACTGCTTGGGAGTTTGGGGCATCTCTTCCTGGGCCGAGGCAGCAGTGCAGAGGGGACGCTTTCTACTGACAGTAGTCGGTTCCAGGCGGTTTTGTGTGACTCTTCTCCCGCCATTCAGTGCCGAGCCCAGGGCCTGGAGGGGCGGGGAAAGCCAGCGAAGGGGCTGGAAGCGGGGGTGCTGGCTCCCGAGCTCACCGAGCAGGCGAGCTGCGTAGGCTCTTTCCTGGTTCTCTTTGGAACCTCTGGCACCCAGGCCAGGCCGGCTGGCGGTGAAGGCCGCATCCCGCGCAGGGCGGGCGTGGGCGCTGCAGCTCAGTGTTAGGCTGAGGATGATGGTGGAAAGTCGAAAAGGAAGAGGACATTCGGGGTTTCAGAAGCGTGTGGTTTGAGCTTCAGAGAATTAAGAGAAAGCCTTCAAAACTTGATAAAACATGACTTTTATTTTTTAAATAAAATTGAGCCTCTTTTTTTTTTCTCCTCCCCCGAGGACATACTCACTGATTTTAGAGAGAGCGGAGGGAGGGAGAGAGATATCGATGGGGGCCCTCGCCTGGGACCAAACCTGTGACTTTTTGGTTTACTGGATGTCGTTCCAACCGACTGAGCCACACTGGCCAGGGCCAAGTTGAGCCTCTTAAGGATTGTAGGGTAATAGTCAAGAATAAAGTGAAAATATGTACCTCTCCTCTCCAAGAGAAGTTGTTTGGCTATTGTTCCCTCTAAAAGTAACACGCGTTTAGCATATGAAAGTTTAAATTTTGTTTGATGACATACTTAAAATTAATCATAGTTTCCTTTTTTTAAAAGATAAATTGTGAAGAAAATCCCGTTTTTTCACGCACAGCAGTGACGTTTTGCCTGTACCTAGGCTGGGTTTGCTTGCGTGACCGTCCTCTCACAACGTCCCTGCCAGGCAGCGCGGCCTTGGGCTCAGTGGGTGTGGGTTGTGAGGGCGGTTCTGTCCAGATGCCCCATGGACTCAGCTGTGGGTCTGAGGGCTTGCCCAGGGCAGGAGCCCCTCCCCTCCCCGGATTTCCTCGCCCTGGGGTTCAGGAGCCCTTTGAGGAGGCTGCCATGCAATAGCCTGCCCTGCGGCGCTGATTTAAAGCCCCCTCTGCCAAGCCGCGCTCCTGAACCAGGCCGACTCCCGGAGGCCCCAGCTACTCGGCGGCTGCCGTGTCCCAGTGCGTGGCATTAAGGGGCCTGTGGCTTCTCCTTTAGGCTGTCATTTCCCTCATGGAAATGGGGTTCGACGAGAAGGAGGTGATAGATGCCCTGAGAGTGAACAACAACCAGCAGAACGCCGCCGTGAGTACCAGCCAGGCTGGGGAGCGATGTGTCTCTCTCCTCACCGGCGGGATGGCTGTGCTGTGTGCAAGCGCCTCTCAGTCGGGCCACTGTTTTGCTTTTGAAGTGGAACAATGGGTAGATGGTTCAAATTGTAAGAACTTTTTTAAACACAGAGAAAACTCTGGGCTCTTTCTGAAAACATGGCCTCTGAGTGTCTAACTCATTTACTTTGTTAGACGAATTCTGAGATCGAGTCTTATCCTGTGAACACACACTGGCTGCTGATGGCACTGCCTGGGGAGTGTGCTCAGTGGGGGGTGGGTGACGTCCCTTCCTGACACCAGAGCCAGCGGTCACACGATTAAGACAGTGTGGCTGTGCTTCAGCTGTGTCCCGACTCACCGATGAGCTGTCGCGGGAGCTCTCACGCCCAGGGCTGCTCCGCTGGGGCACAGCCCGGGTCCGTGCTTCCCTGAGTGACCCCTGCACTCAGGGCGGGCCCTGCTGGCTCCCCGCTCCGCGGTGGGAGGCTGTAGCCACGCTGTGCGGCTGCAGCACCAAGAAAACCGGGTGGCGCCTTCCTCCTTGGCGGCCTGTCTGACCCTGAGTCTGGGCGGCTCTGCTTTGTGTTAAGCTCCCTCCCAGTGAGAGCCACACCGTGTTTGATGCCCACGAGGGTCCAGAGGAACTGATGGCCGCCTGTCGCTCTTGCCTTGCAGTGTGAGTGGCTGCTGGGGGACCGCAAGCCCTCCCCCGAGGAGCTGGACACGGGCATCGACCCCGACAGCCCTCTCTTTCAAGCCATCCTGGACAACCCCGTCGTGCAGCTGGGCCTCACCAACCCAAAGACACTGCTAGGTACGTGCGCCTCCGTTAGGCTGCCTGGCGGGCCCGCGCGGGACACGCAGGTGTTCTGAGCTGTAGACACCACAGTCTCACGCCTGGGGGCTGTCCCTGGGCGCACTGGCGCCTCCGTGTGGCCCCTGCCTGTTGTTGCGGGGGGGGTCGGCAATCAGGCTGCGCTCATGCTGCGTGCGCTCCTGTGTGTCCACGGCCCCACGCGCTCTGAACAGCCAGAGGCGGCAGGTGAGGCAGGCGACGGAGAGGGTGTGCCCTTACCGACCCGGAGGGACTTCCTTGTCGTTCTTTTGCCTATGAGATATAAGATACATTCAAAAGTACGTAACAGGCATACAACTTTTGTAACTGTAAAAAACAATAGTAAAACTAATAAGCATGCACCTACCATTCAGCTTTTTTTACTCTTTCGTTTTTTTTTTTTTGAAACAGTATTTAGAAAGGCAAGGGCCCTGTAGTGCAGCCGGGCGCCCTGACTGGCCCGCCTCCCTCCTGAGCACCCAGATCCCGAATGTTTCTCATTCCTTTGCTGCCGGGGGAGTGTTGTGCCTCCGTACGCTCCCCCAGGCAACACGTGTACTCCTGCCTCTGCGTGGGTAGGGCCATGTCTGGGCGGGCTCCTGTGACTGCTCTCCTGGAGCGCCGGCAGGTCCTTGCCGCGTGAGCACGCTGCGGCCGCTCCGTCCTGTTCCCTTGCACACGTGCTGCTTTGGTCATTCTCGCGTGTCCCGGTGCACACACGAGGGTCTCTCAGGCAGGTGCCTGGGCCACGCTGCAGGGGCCGCGTGGGTGCGCTTGGGCATGTGTTCTGGGAGAGGGTGCGGTGCTCAGAGACCCTGCCGCCCCCCAGCGCAGCGCCCCGGGGCAGAGGCGCGGGCGCCCGCTGCGTGCCAGGCCCCGGGGTGTGGGTGCTGCGCCACCTCCCTGACTGCAAGGCCAAGCCCTGTGGGAGGCCAGCCTCCCGGCCCTCGGCCCGTCTCGGCCGCTTTCTCTAGCAGGTTGCTCTGCTTCTCCGCCCAGCGTGCGCCCCGTGTGCTGGACACAGATCTCCCCCAGCTCTTTGCATCATGGGTGCGTGTGCAGCCTCTGACGTCGTCACGCCTTCAGTGAGCAGGAGTCCTGTGTGTGACGCACTTGGCTGTGCTTGTGTCTCGTTTGTGACGTGAGTGTTCACACGGAACCCTGCGGGCCCGGGTTCGGAGAGGCGTGTGTGCAGCAAGGTCGGCTTCCCCCTGTGTGCGCGCAGCCTGCCCTTCGGGGACGTGCCCCGTTCATTTCCGCGCTCTGTGCCGGCCCTGTGGCCCCTTCTGCCCACAGCACCCCCAGGCTCCCCGGGTTTGGAGACCCGCCGCCTGGGGCCTGGGAACGCCTCGCCCTGAGACTGCGATGAGCTGTGGGCTGCCTTTTAGCTGCTGAAGGTCTGTGTGGTGAGGTTAGGGAAGCTCCCCTTTCCCTCCAGCTGGATGCCGAGGCCTGGCTCCCGAATGCGTGGCCATGCTCCTGCCTTCCCCGTCTGTGGTGGCTCCCCTGTGGGTGTGCCTGGTGGGGTCCAGGGCCACCGGTGGCAGCACAGTTGGCTTTCAGGGTGCGGGCTGCCGCCTCCTGGAGCGCGGCCTGCAGGTCCGGCCGCCCCGCCCGCGCCCCGGAACCGCCCGGGGAGGACGGCCTGCCTGTGCGGTGGCCCCACGTGGCGCCCCTGTGGCCACACAGCGCCCTCCAGCTCGCATTCGGACGCATCTGGCATTTTTTAAAATAACCATTATCATTTTACCTATTTGAAAGGTTTTATTTATTTATTCTTAGAGGGGGGAAGGGAGGGAGAAAGAGAAGGAAAGAAACGTCAGTGTGTGAGAGGCACATTGATTGGTTGTCTCTCACGCGCCCCCAACAAGGGACCTGTCCCGCAACCCAGGCCTGTGCCCTGACTAGGAATCGAACCGGCGACCCTCTGGTTTGCAGGCCAACACTCAGGCCACTGAACCACACTAGCCAGGGCACCATTATCACTTTAGTTGAAGTGAAATACCCTTATAGGAAATTTGGAAAATGCCGGAAAGAATAAAGAGGCAAGGAGATGTCCCCTCCGCCCCCACTGGCGGGTCTGCTGATGTCGGTGCGCCTCCTGTTCTCATGTCCCGTTGGGAGCCTTCCTCCTTTTGTTACCGCCTTGAAAACGAGAGTTTTTATTGGGTGGAGGTATTTTATTCAATAGATACGCTACCGATGGTTTACCACATGCTGCTTCCCTATTTCTGTCATTTAAGTGATTTTTTACTCTGTTCCTCTTGGACCTGCTGCCGCAACACGCCTTTTTGTCCCTGCTCTGGGAGAGCGCGTGTTTCCCAGGGTAAGTGGCTGGAAGTCAGGTGACCAGGTCACAGCGTGGAGCACTTTAAGCTCTGATGACGCCCCGCAGCGCGCTGTCCCCCTGGCACACACAGCATGTCCTGCTGTCCTTGTCGCAGCAAGTTGGATACAATTGTGCTGGCCACTTGCACTTCTCTGTCACACGTGCCTCTGCGTGTCTCGTCTGTGTTTCCGTGGTGGTACTAATGTTAGAGCTTTGTTAATAGCGCTTCTTGCATGAAGAATATCTACCTATCCCTTGTGGGTTGTTGCAAACTTTTTATTTACCCTTTCCTTTTGTGTGGTAGTTTTTTGAAACCCATGAAGTAAGACGCGCAGAAGAAAGTTCTTCCTCAGATAAATATCCGCCCGTGCGGATTTTTGCGCTGGACCCCTTTTTCATCCTTCTCTTCAGCGCTTTCCCTCCTGGGATTGTTTTGCTTCGCTACAGGGAGGCAGGGCTTGTTCCCGCCCTGTTTCTGGAGCGGCCCTTCTCGGCCTGTGGTGTCCCCGGCGTGGCCCTGTTCCGTGTTTCGCTCTCCTGGGTGCCAGCCGTCTTTCTGGGCTTGCTTTCTGATACTTTCAGCGGGTTTTCAGAGGCTTGGGATCAGGAGGACCCCGCCGATTGTGCTCAGGCTGTGAAGGTTCTCAGGCCCCAGGTGACCCCCAGTGGCCAGGGCCTCCTTGTGGACATGCTCTTTGCGGAGCCTGCGACCAGGGCCGCCTGCTCTGGGTGGCAGAGGGCGGGCTGAACGACAGGCTCGGGGAGGCTGGTGGGGCTTTTGCGGGAATGCACCTGTGGTTTCTGGGAAAACAATTTTGTAAAACTCAAAAAATCACAATTTTCATTTTAAAATCATGTTCTTAAGATTTAACGTTTTGAGTTTTTCAATTGGAAAGTGTCGCATTTGCAATAGTACGCTTATGTGTAGGGTTTTTATGCATCGGATTACTTTGTTAGGGCAGGATTGGAAGTGGAATTACTGAGTCACCGGCCCTGACTATTTTTATGATTCCTGATAGCTGGTGCCAAATTGCTTTCCAGAGTCCGTGTGCCAGGGGACACACACAGGCACGCCGCTCCCCGAAGAGCCAAAGTCACTGTTCTCTGACTTCAGAGCTCCTGATGTGATGAGCAGATCAGACGTTGTGTGTTGTGGTTAGCAGGGATCTTGGTGTGACTGGGCTGCCTGGTCCTGCTTCTTTACCAAGAGGCTGTGGAGAGTTCCTCCAGCGCACATGGGTGTGCACATGCGCCAATGAGTGTACACCCGTGTGTGGTGTGTGCCTGAGTGCACACACGTGTGTGGTGTGTGCATATGTGCAGGCACAAGAGCACGTGTGAGTGCACATGTCTGTGTGCCTGTGTGTGCGTGTTGTTTCTGCACAGGTGCGTGTCCGTGCACGTGTGGGTGTGCTGTGTGTGTGTGTTGTGTGTGCACACATGGACGTGAGTGTGCTGTGAGCGCGTGCACGCCTGTGCTTTGTGTGCGTGCGTGCATGTGGAGGGTGCAGTGTTTGTTAAGCCTGGCTCTGCTCTCCCCGCAGCTTTTGAAGACATGCTTGAGAACCCACTGAACAGCACCCAGTGGATGAACGACCCAGAGACGGGGCCCGTCATGCTGCAGATCTCCAGAATCTTCCAGACCATGAACCGCACGTAGGCCGCGCCTGCGCTCTCCGCTGCCCCGCTGGCCTGCCGGGGGGGGGGGGTCCGGCTCTCTGGGCCCTCCTCCTTCCCATCCAGTTGTGGGGACAACGAGAGGACGCGCTGGGCGGAGGAGGGGACCGGTCAGGGCTGCAAAGGGTCCTGCCCGCACCCGCCCCCGAGCTGGGCCCCGGTCGTCCTGCTTCCATCTTCCTGCTTAGACACTTCCGTGCGGCGTGTGCCCGGCGCGGCCCAGCGTGTGACAGTGTTTACAAACAGGTGGTTCTGTGGGGAGGGTTGCCCCCTACCCAGTGGTCCCTCTGGCTCTTCAAACGCTGCTTGAACGGAACCATAGGCGCTGCTCGTAAAGTCACCTGCTGTTGGAAGATGGCGAGTTCCTGTCCACAGTGTTAACGTCAAGCGCACTTGGCCGAGTGGAGGGTTCACAGATGACTTTTCTCCCATAAATAAATCCCCCTTTCCTAACTCCTCTGGCAGTGTGATTATTCCAGGGCCGACAAAGTGGTTTATTTGCACCCTCGGTCAAGTGCGCGTGCTCCTCCCTCGCCTGGCGTGCTAGCCGCCGCCTCTCCCACGTTGGGTGGGCAAAACCTTGCGTCCTCAGTGGTGGGAAGGTACCAGCAGTCACTGGAGCGCGTGCACCGTCCTGTGTCTCTGGTGGCAGAGCACCGCCAGAATGCTGCGCCCCGCCCTGCCTCTGCCCCGCCTCTGGTTGCTTAAAAAAACCACCCATAATTTAGAACGAGAAAGCAAGTTAACTGATTATACCCCCTTTTATTTCTACCTCTGGTTATTATTGCTTAAAGGGGTTGTTTGTCATGTTTTTGTCTTTTTTTTTAAAGATTTTATTTTCAGAGAGAGAGGAAGGGAGGAAGAGAGGGAGAGAAACCGATGTGTGAGGGGAAAAGCATCGATGTGTGGTCGTCTCTCGCGCGCCCCCTACTGGGGACCTGGCCCCCAACCCAGGCCTGTGCCCTGACTGGGAATCGATCTGGCACCCTTTCGGTTCACAGGCCAGTGCTCAGCCCACTGAGCCACGCCAGGTAGGGCTGCCAGACGTGTTTTTTCAGCTTCACTTTGGAAGCAGCCCCGCCTGCCTGGCCGGTGCCCGGGATTGCTGGGCCGCTGCCGTGCGCAGGTGGGGGGCCTCAGGGCTCCCCATGCTCATGCACCTCGGCTGAGGGAGGGTGGGGGTGTGGGAAGAAAACACTGCTTTTCACAGATCAAGGTTTCCCTGCTGCTCTTGAGATTCAGATTCAGAACTTCTGGACGGAAATACTAGAATAACTTTTAAAGGCCGTGACTCACGTCTTCTCAGCCCCATGAAGACAGAGCAGCCCCTGACGCAGTGGGGTAAGGGGCTCTGCGTGCGGTCACCGCCTGTGTCTTTGTGTGTCCTCTCGGGGCACCATCCTGCCAGGCGGCGCTGCCCAGGCAAAGCCCCTGGCGGGCCTGGGGCTCCGCGCTGCGCCTGCACTGAGAGCAGAGCCCCGGCACGGGGCCGAGGGGCTCCGAGCTGCTCCGCCTCTGTGGAGAAGCAAGCCCGGCGCGGACTCGGGGCTGGCCCGGCCCCGCCGTGGGACAGGCACGTGGCTGCGTGGGTCAGCGCGTCTCCGACGACCCGACACCCTCTGAGCAGCCGGGGCTGTTGGCTTTGCCTGAAGAAATTCTGTACCTTTACGCACCTGGAAGCAAGTTTCTGGCCTTCGCGGTCAGCGCCCCCTTCAGACGTGACGCACAGAGGCCCTGGGAGCCCCCGCCGCCAGGCTGCGGCTGCACAGCTTCCCTTCCTGTGCCTGGAGCAGGAGCTCGGGAGCCGCCAGCTGGCACTGGGACCTGGAACTGCTCCCTGTCACCTCCACGTTGCCATCTGCCATCCTCTTGAAGTGGCGGCAGGTGATGCGGGGTTTGGGGCCTGGCATCCGCCAGAATGTCCCCCCCAAGCGGCCCTCCCTGCACACCGTCCCTGTGGGGACTGAGGGGCTGTTGTAGGTCCAATGTGCTCCAAAGAACTAGGAGCGTCTGCCCCAGTCAACGAAGCTGCAGTCCCCAGCCCCCTGGGCACATCTGCAGAATTTATCCTTTTCAAGAGCATTCTGCCTCCAAAACTCAGGAGGTCCCAAAAAAGGGGACACAGTGAGCAGCTCTGCCCCTAAGTCCCTTGTGTTCCGGGGCAGCTGGCTGTGAGATACTTGGGGCTCATCTGGCTAGAGCTGAGTGTTCCAGAAAGTGCTGGCCTTGAGAACAGGGCTGGGAGACCCCAGCACTGGGTTTGGGGTACGGACCTGACATACACGCCGCCCCACCCACCCCTCCCTGTCCCACCACGAGGGCTGGCACCCCGGGCTGGCGTGGGGCTCTGGCAGAAAGTAGTGTCCACTCGCTCCAGTGCCCACGCGACGTTGCCGGCCACGCGACGGCACAGGACAGGAAGCCTACAGCGTGAGGACGGCAGGCGGGAGGCCTGGCAGGAGGAGCCCGTGCTCCTCTCAGAGAGAGGCTCACGGACGACCACAGGGAAGCCCTGGGCTCACTCCAGGAGCCTGAGGGGACAAGGGGACAGCAGAGAGCAGCAGGGACCGAGGTGGCCTGAGTAATGGGGGATGGGCTAATCCAGGAGGCTGGGGCACTGGGGACGGGCGGAGAGGAGGCACGGTCCCTCTCTTTGGGGGGGGCGTGTATGGTGCTCCCTCCAGTGGGCACTGAGTCCTGGGTGGGTGGGACAACAAGCGGGACAGTCCTGAGGTCTGGCTCCAGGCCATCATATCTGGTGATGCTCTTGGCTCCCCGAAGCCTGATTTAAAGTTAAGGTTCGGACACAGAAGCTGGCACCCAGGACAACGGCTGTGAACGGGTGGGTTGGGGATCGGAGCCCTGGACAGCGACCGTGTGTGCCCCGTGTCGTCTGTGCTGAGAGCGCTCACACAGTGTAGGCAACCGTCAGGGTTGAATTGCATCCCTCCAAAAAGATGCTCCAGTCCAAAAGTCCAGACCTCAGACTGTGACTGCACTTGGAGATGGGGCTTTTGAAGAAGTTTCGGGTGGGCCCTGGTTCCCCGGGGATTCCCAGGAAGGAGGCAGCCGGGGGACACAGGCACAGGCCCAAGGCCCGGCGCAGGCACGCGCGTACCGGGGGGCAACGCACCACGAGCGAAGGAAGGCCGGGACCGGGACAGGTCAGAAGCCAGGTGAGGCCTAGGGCCATGCCCTTCAGCCTCAGGAGGGACCTCCGACACCTGATGGAGGGGACGTTTGTGGTTTAACAAGTACCGGCATCCCTGGGGACTCGCCGCCCTCTGCCTGCCTGCCTCCCGTGGTCTCCAAGGCCCAGGCAGCCCCGGCCGGTGTGAGGCCGTCAGGAACAGAGAGGCGTGTTCACAACTCCTCCTGCCAGGTGCCTCACTCTGACACGTAAGTGACCTCGAAGCCTCCCCGCCCGCCTTCCATTAAAGGAGTAGGAGGGGTGGCCCGCCCGCCTCTGGTGACTCCAGTGGCCCTTCCCATGACGCACCCAGAAACAGGAAAAACCACTCATTTATAAATCCTGAAGAGGTGTGTAATTTGCCCCTTTAAAATGGAACAAAATGAAGTTTGCAGGCTTAAAAGGCACCCTCTCCACCAGGGTGCCAGCCGGGATGGCTCTGAAAGGGGCCCCCGCTCCCGGGAAGGGTGAGGAGGTGCTGGGCACCCGCTGGGCATGGGGCAGCCCTCGTGCAGGCCCGCCCGCGAGGACTCCAGGGGTGCACAGAAGCCCTTGGCTGCCCAAGCCTTTGCAGTCCCCAGGTGTCCTCAAACCCTGCATTCTCCAAGGGATTGATTGACATTGTCCCTAGGCGGCTTCCCAGGCGGTGAACATCCCTTCTCCCTGGGAGAGGGGAGACCAAAGAAATGCAAAGAAGTACAGTGGTTGGAAGTCCTTGCAGCCCAACCTACCCAAAAAGTCTCCCTTCAGGTTTAACTTCTCTCCCAACAGGGAAATTAAATTTTAATTAATTAATTTTCCTCCCCGGGGCAGTGGTCACGAAGGGGAGGTTGAAAGGCTGAGCTCCTCCACTTTCTGGCCCACCTGGGAATGTTTTGGGCCAAATGTCAGGGTTGGTGGTTGGCCAGGTATGAGTTGGGAATGGTCAACCCCCTGCATGGATTCAGCAGTATTTTTCACTGGAAACGCCCGCAGGTTTCTCCCAGAATTGGGTTAGCTGTGGGATTCACAGGTCCACGGCAGCTTCGAGGATGGAGCCCTTGCTGGCCAGGCCTCCCCAGGCCAGATCTGCACCCCGTTCTCCTGCTGCGTCTGGGGCTCACTCTGCAGTGCCGGGAAACTGGTGGATGCCCCATCCCACCGCGCCCGCTCACGGGTTACTCACGAGCATTAGACATAAGGTCCGACAGTGTAGCCCGGGACCAGGACCCACAGGGACCTCAGTCACTGGTCAGGGAGGGAGGAGCACATGGAAGCATGGCCAGGGAACCACATGGGCTGGCTGGGCCAGCAGAACTGGGGACAGGACTGAGTCCCTGGGGAAGCCATACAGACAGGGGGTAAAGCTTGCTCAGCAGGGCCAAGCCTGGGGCTCCTCCAGCCCAAGGGCTCTTCCCCGAGCAACATAGCTGCGGAAGGCTGGCCAGGCTAGAGGCTGGTCTTGAAGCTGTGGCGGCATAGCTGGGCCCCAGGTTTGCTTTGTTCTTTTAATAGGTTATGTTTTTTAGAGTAGTTTTAAAAACTGAGTGCAGAGTTCCCATGGATTCCTCCCCTATCTCCCGGTCCCGCTACAGCTTCCCCTGTTACTCACAGAAAAGGTCAAAGTTCCTCCTGTGCCTGGGCCCCCCTCCACCCCCACTTCCTACCAGTGCCTCTCCACCCTGGGTTCCTAATTCAGTGGCTTCCCCATTTCTTGCATACCAGACGCTCCTGTCTCAGGGTTCTGTGTCTGCCATACCCAGTGCCCACAAGGCTGCCCTGCAGATACGCCCTGCTGGCCCTCACTCCCTGCAGGTCCCAGCACTCCTGTGTCCCTCTCCCACAGGGTGGCTTGCTGCCTCCTGCGCTGCGCAGCCAGCATTGGTCATCTCCCCGCTGGGCCTCAGCTTGGACCTGGGCAGGAGGCCGGGGGTTTGCATTTTGCTCTCTGCTGTGAGCGAGACCCACGGAGTGTACATCACCTTGTAACCTGGGTCTTCTTTCTGGGCCAGGGTAGCTCAGTGAAGGGAGGTTGGTAGCACCTTAAAAACCCCTGGAGATTGGGTGCCAGCCTGGCCTTCACTCCCAGGACACGTTATTCAGGGGAAACAATTTCTTCCTGCTTTTCTCTAGGCCTAGGATTTCTGGACCCTCGTAGATGGCACAGAAGCCAGGAGCCCTTTCTGTTCCGCTGTGAGGTCCTCAGGTAAGCACCACGTACATCCTTGGGTTTAACGGTGTTACAAATACTAGCTGAACACAGGCCCTCGGATGCCCACTTTGGCAGGGAGAAGCCAGCCCCTTCCAGGGGGTACGTGTGAGGCCCAAAGGGTGAGCACTCTGTCTTGGCTCACCCTCCCTGGTCTTGCCCTGGAGGTCCTGGTTAGTGACCACTTGGAGCGCTCCCAGGTACAGCGAGCTCCAAGTCGGCTCTGGGGATCCCCCAGGCTCTAAGCGCAGTAGGGGAGGGGAACGCGATGCTCGGAGGGGTGTTCCCCCGGCTGCCAGCGCGGCTGGGTGGGGGGGGGGCAGAGAGGGATTCTGGAAGCTGCTCGGGGGCGGGGTCCCCGGGCTCTTAGCCCCGCTGTGGGAGGGGCAGTCTCCAGGCTGTCAGCACCGCAGTCCGGGAGGGGGAAACCCCGGGGAAGCTCTGGGGTGGAGGGTTGCCGCCGTCCTGTGCTGGTGCTGAGCCCGCGTGGTCCCCCAGGAGCACAAGGGCCTCCGCGACAGGCTCGGCTCCGTCGGTCAGGGGCTGGGGCCTCTGGTCTCAGTGCCGGGGAGGAGGAGGTGCGGCCCAGACAAAAGGCTGCTGCGAGACCCCCCGGGCCTGTCCGCCCGCGCCGCCGACGCCGCGCGACCCCGCGCCCGACACCCGCGGAAAGGGGCGGAGTCTCGGGTAGCGCCCACTGCGCCTGCGGAAGCGGGCGGGGCGAGCGCGGGCCGGAGGCGGGGCTTCGGGCGGTGCCCACTGCGCCTGCGGAAGGGGGCGGGGCGAGCGCGGGCTGGGGCGGGGCGGTTGTCCGCGGCCACTGCGCCTGCGCGGGACCTGGGCGGTGCGCGCGCTCCCGCCGGTTGGCCGTCTCTTCAGCGGTCTCCGCCGCCGCAGGCGCCGCCGCCGCCGCCGCCCCCGACTTCGCGCACGCGCCCCTCACCCGGCCCACGGCCCGGCCCGCGCCCCTCGCCCGCCGCCTCGCCGGTTCCCGGGTGACCCCGGCTCTGCCCCGCAGCATGCAGCAGCAGCAGCACCCGCGGCGGCGGAGGCGGCGGCGGCTCTGAGGAGAGGCGGGCGGGCCGGCCTGCGGGCCCCACGCGGGGCGGTCGCGCCCGTGAGTCCGGCCCGGCCCCACGCGGCCCGCGCGGCGCCTTTGTTGCCGGCGCCGCCGCAGCGCCAGGAGCGTGCGGAGGGCGAACGCGGCGGCCGCGCGGCCGGGGACGGCCGGCGGAGGATGGAGGCCGCGCCCGACGGCGCCGCGGACGTCGTGCCGCTGGACCGCTACGACCCGGCGCGCGCCAAGATCGCCGCCAACCTGCAGTGGCTCTGCGCCAAGGCGTACGGCCGAGGTGGGCGCGGCGCGGCGCGGGCGGCGGGCGGGGGCCGCCTTTGTGCGGGGCTGGTCGCGCGCGGTGCGCTCGGTGGGTCGCTGCGCGGTGGCGGGGTCGGCGGGTCGCGGCGTCGGGCCTCCCTGCCGCTCCCGGGTCGTGCGGGTCGGGGCGCGAGTCCAGACGGAAAACGCCGGCCGCCCCGCGGTTTCCGGCGCTGCCGCCACCTGGGCCGTGCGGCTCCCGAGCGAGAAGGGGCCGCGGCCGGGTTGGACTTCATCAGAACCTGCCCTGGGTCCGTCCGGCCCGGGCGAGCTCGGACCCGGCTGGGGGCGCCGTTCCTCGGGCCCCAGTTCCCCCGTGGTTGGCGCCGCTGCGCCCGGCTCAGGGTTTGCAGGCCAGGCGATGCCCGTGATTGCGGGGCCCCAGGCTTTCCTTGGTCCTTCCTTTCAGGCGCTTTGTGCGGACACGAATCGAGCTCCTCCCTCGTCAGCTTTTCCTTTTAATTTGAAGCATTTTCTAAAACGGCCTTCTCCGGGGGAAGACGCCCTGCTTGCCGCCGAGGGAGGGGACGCGGCGCCCCTTTCAGCAGCGCGGGGGTGACCAGTGGTGGACAGTTGCCGAGCAGGCGGTTCCCTGCGTACCCTGGCCGGGTTGGGTGGCCTGTGCGACCGCCAGCCCCGGGCTTGGGGACGCGCGGCGTCGGCTTGCAACTGGAGGCCTGGTGACAAATGCGAGGGCCCCCCGAGGCTACCGCTTTCGGTTTGCAGGTGTTTATAGCCCCGTGAACCGCCACCTGCGTGGCTTGAGGGAAAAAGTGGACTCCATTAACCTTTGCAGAGTATAAAACTTTATAGAATAAGGGCCGACAAGTGTGCCGTCTAGCAGCTGTGAGTAACCCCAGCGGCCCGGACGTCCAGCCGTGACCTTGACCTCCGCAGGGGCATGTGCAGCCTCTCCTCCCAGCCACTTGTGTCTGGTGTTGGCCTCGCTCTGCCTTTATCATTCATCCAGTGTCGCGTGGGGAGACGTGTTATGCGCCTCCGTAGCGAGCATTCAGAGGTCTCCGCACTGCCCCGTGGGCTGGTCCGTCCTTCCAGCCCCACGCTCACTCACCTCCCCGCCTTCCCGCCCCTGTGCAGCACTGCATGGGGACCACCCTTCCAGCCGGGGCCCATTCTGCGCTCCACGCCCAGGGTGTTCCTGGGCCTGGCTGCTGGACGCCTGTGCCAGGTCCCCTCCCGTGGGTGAAGACTTTGCTTGTGGGAGCGCTGGGTTCCGGGGATGATGCTCTGTGGTCACGCTGGGACCGGGAATAGAAGATGCGTTGCCCATTCTGACTTGTATTTGTAACGGTGGACCAAGGTGCACACCTTCTCTCTCCTGTCCTGATGCCATGGGTTAAACACTAACCAGAGAATGTAGATTTCTCTTTAAGCTCAGACTGTCCAGTCCTTTAAATTTGAATGACTCTCTTGTGCTTTGGGGTGTGAACTTTGTGCAAATGGTACGAGGCCCTCTCCAATCTGCCCCAGCTTCCTTAGCCCGGTGCCTGTGTTTCTGCCCTGTCACTGGGCTTTGGCGTCCAGCATGGGGTCTGCCAGTGACCTGGACGTACGCGTGCACTTTTCCGAATGTTAATGTTGGGCTTGCCTAGTTTTAGTTCAGTGCTGATGGCTCTGCAAAACCTGTTGACTCAGCTGATAAGTAATTCAGAAGCTGATATTAAAATAGGCTTTTCAGCATTGACGTTATTAAAGGCAGGTATTTATAGAACCGCGTGAGCAGGAGCTGAAGGAGGCTGAGGATGGAAGACGGGGTTGCAGGGTGCCGCTGTGCCGGTCCCTCGGCTGCGGGGTCCGTCGCCCCTGATTTGCGCAGGCCTGGCCTCCGTTCACTGTTTTTCCGTTCTGTACTTTGCTTCTAGAAGGGGAGCAGATATACATTTTTTTCTAGTTGAGAATCTCTCTTTAAATTTACAAATTTAGGAGACCCCCATTCAGATGACCAAGGCGACTTGCCTCGCCTCAGCAGAAGTGACCCCACCTGTGACGTTGACGTGCGTGGGAGATCTGCCACTTCCCAGAGTGGGGCCTGGTCCTGCAGGAGACAGGGTGGGGAGGGACTTCGGCAGGATAGGAGGTTTTTCCCCCAAACTCTTTTTTTCTGATCCGGGGCCATTCTTTGCTCTCTTCCTGGATGTCTCCGTGTGCCTCTCCAGCTTAGTTTCCAGCGAGGCAGACACAGTCCTTTCAGTCTGCATGCTGCAGTCGCAGGTCAGTTTTGGGGGTGTGGTGGTGAAAATGACTTCAGTGTTTTACTTGTTAGGCGACTGTCAAGTAGCTCAGTGAGACCGACCAAACAGTCTTTCCGGTTGTGCAGGAATGGGAGGCATGTGGCTGCTCAGGGCCAGGTGCTCTGGGGCCGCCTTCTTCCGCCTGCCTTTCGGGGACCCTCACGTCCCCGGGCCAAAGCTCACCGTTGGCCAGGCCCCGTGTTGCTGGCGGTTCTGCGGGGTTTGCTCCCACCCTCCTCGCCCTGGGGCCACAGCCAGGGACTCGGCGCTGTCTTGTGCTGCTGTGCTTAGCATCGGCCCCTTTTCTGGGGGTAACTCTCGTTTCATGGGCAGTGTTCTATCTTTTTAGGTGCAGTATATTGGACATGTCAGAACTTACACATTTAAGAGTGTGTGGGGGAAGGAGTAGAACCTGCTTAGCTGAAGTATTTTGTGATGTCTGTTGGGTGGAAGTTGTAATAAGTTGGTAAAAAAGTTGAAAGGAGTGACTTGAAGTACTGTGTGTTTCATAGACTAGAGCGCTGGACCAGGCTACTGTGCTCCTGGTTTTCGATTTCTGTCCACAGCCTTAGTAAACTTAAAAATATCTAGGTCTCGGTTTTGGGTTTTGAGTAATAGCTTTTGTTACCTCGCAAGGACAGTGTTGAAAAAACAACCCAGGGAAAACACTGGAAGGTGCTCAGCTATGTGCAGGCATTTGCTTTGTGTGCAGCGGTGGCAAGCTCGCCCCGAGGAGCCCTGGAGACTAGCTGAGACTCACCACCGCTCACCATGGAGCCGGGCTGCCCCGAACAGGGCAGGACCTCAGGGGCCACCAGGGTCAGCCTCTCACTTCACCTGCAGCTCCCGGGCAGAGAGGCCTCGGGGCTCCCCGAGCCCACTGCGAGCCAGGTGGCTGCGAGCACATTCCTGTGCTCGCCCCCTGGCGGCCTGGGAAGCCCGCGGGGCCAACGGCCGGCCTCTGCGCCGTTGTCGGGATCTCTGATCGAGCTGCAGAGCTGCGTGCAGCTCCTTCACAGAGACCACAAGGCAGCTAGGAGTCTGTTTGCTTAATTGACATTAGGAGCAAAATCCCTTCCTTGCAAGCTCCAGGTCACTGCTTTGCTTTGCGGTGGCATGTGGTTTAAATAAGTCGCAGGCCCGGAACCCCTGTGCAGGCCCCAGAACTGGAAGGGGCCGGCTGAGTGTCTGCCCCTGGGCTCACGGGAGCACGGCCACCTGGGGTCTCAGGAGGGGCCTCGTTCAGAGCATGTTGTCCCATTTTATACGTCACTGTTAGCTTAGATTTTTGGCTTGAGTTTGGATTGTGTTGTTTAATAGTCTTTTGTTCTCAGCAAGGGACTTGGGTGCTTACTGAGCAACCTGGGCGCAGGGGCTCGGTGGCACTCGATCCTGTGGGGGTTGGGGCGCTGGCCGGTCTCCCGGAATGACTTTCCTTCTGCGGGGCCGCCGAGGACGGGCGGGGGCCCTGAGGCAGGGGTCGCGGCTGCCCTGCTTGGGCCTTATCTGCAGGGTGGCCGGCGCTCGCCTACCGGTCTGATGTGCAGAGGAGCGGGGGGTGCCCTGGGACTGGGGATATAGGGCACGTTACTCTTTCTGACCCGGCGGCCAGACGGGGTGGGTGTGTATGTGTAGCGGTGGACCGGGGCGCACACGTTCTCTCTCCTTTCCTGATGCCACGGGTTAAACACTAAGCAAAGGACGTAAATTTCTCAAAGTTCAGACTGTCCCAATCCTTTCTATTTGAGTGCCTCTCTTGTGCTTTAGGATGTGAAATTTGTGCACATGTTTTTCTGAAAAGGTCTTAATAGTTTTTATATTACCTTTTATCCTAATAGCTCAGAGGCTTCTCTTGCTGTTGATTTTGTTGTGGTCTTGTCACGTGGCCTATGTACCAGTGTTCTTTTTTACTTCCTAGGTGACCTATTGAAAAACTCAGATTCCTGTCATTTTCCACCAAATCTGAAGGTAGCCACGCTGGTGCCAATATCACGTCCATTCAACCAGTAATAATCACATAGCTGTCACAGGCATAATTGTGTTGTCCTCTGTAGGAAACACAAGGGAGGTTACGTGATGCCATCTCCTTAGTTGCTTAAAATTCCTGCGAGCTCCCGAGATACACAAAGGACAGTGCGATGAGGGAGGACTGGAGATGGGCGGCCTCACGTCCCTCGGGGGCCGGGCGGACGAGTGGGGCCGCGCTGCCGGCCTCCAGGGGCCGCGGTTGCTGCGGGAGGGTGCGTGGGCAGCTTCGTGAGGGGTAGGCTTAGAGGGACGGGTCAGGTTTGCGTGCCCCCCCGAAGAGCAGAGGGCAGGGCGTCAGGCCGGGTGCCGAGCACAAGCGTTAGCGGCGCTGGGACGATCGGCCTTCCCGGGGCGGAGGATGTGTGGACCGGAATAGTCGGTGATTAGTGTGGAAAATAGCCCGGGCCAGATTGTTTACAGTGTTCCAAGCTGGCGGGGGCTTTCCCTCACCACGTGAGCCTGGGAAGGCTTTCGTGTAGCGGGTGGTGTAGAGAGAGAGCCGGGCGAGATTCTTCCAGCAGCTCGGCGTGGTAGAGGCTGTGGTCAGGTGGAATGTCTGGGGGCTCATCTGTGTCCGTACAGGCTGCTGTGACCCTGGGCGGCTTCGGAATAGCAGACGCTGACTCCTCCGTCTGGAGGCTGCGAGTCCCAGGTCCTGGTGCGCAGACCTGGTGTCTGGTGTGGGCGGGTTCCTGGT